ACTACTACTACTGCGTCTACATTTACTACTACGACTACTACTACTACTACTACTACTACTACTACTACTACTACTACTACTACTACTACTACTACTACTACTACTACTACTACTACTACTACTACTACTACTACTACTACTACTACTACTACTACTACTTCTACTACTATAACTACTACTACTACTACTACTACTACTACTACTACTACTACTACTACTACTACTACTACTACTACTACTACTACTACTACTTACTAATTACTACTTACTACGTACTACTTACTACTTACAATTTACTACGACTACTACTACTACTACTACTACTACTACTACTACTACTACTACTACTACTACTACTACTACTAATATTACTACTACTACTACTACTACTACTACTACTACTACTACGATTACTACTACTGCTGCGACGACCACTACTACTACGACTACTACTACTACTACTACTACTGTTACTACCACTAGTACTACTACTGCTACTACTATTACTACTACTACTACTACTACTGCAACTACTATTACTATGACTACTACTACTCCTACTACTACTACTACTACTACTACTACTACGACTACGACTACTACTACGACGACCACTACTACCACTACAACTACTACGACTACGACTACTACTACTACTACTACTACTACTACTGCTACTACCACTACCAGTGCTAACTACTACTACTCGTGATAGTACAACTACGATTACTACGACTACGACTACTACTACTACTACTACTACTACTACTACTACTACTATTACTACTACTACCACTGCTACTACTACTACGAAGACGACGACTACTATTACTACTACTACTACTCCTACTACTACTACTACTACTACTACTACTACTACTACTACTACGATTACTACGACTACTGATACTACGACGACTACTACTTCTCCTGCTACTACTACGACTACCACTACTACTACTACTACTAATACTACTACTACTACTACTACTACTACTACTACTACTACTACTACTACTACTACTACTACGATTGCTACTATTACTACTACTACGACTACTACTACTACTACTTCTACTACTACTACTACTACTACTGCCACGATTTCTTCTACTACTCCTACTGCACCTAATACCACAACTACGACTACTACTACCACTACGACTACGACTGCTCCTACTACGATTACTACTACTGTTACGACTACTACTACTACTACTACGACTACTACTACTACTACGAAGACGACTATTACGACGACAACTACACTACAACTACTGCAACTACCACTACCACTACTACTACCACTACTACTACTACCACTACTACTACTACTACTACGACTACTACTACTACTACTACTACTACTACTACTACTATTATTACTACTACTACTACTACTACTACTACTACTACTACGACCTACCACTACTAGAATCGACCTACAGTCTCCTACTACTACTACTACTACTACTACTACTACTACTACTACTACTACTACTACGGCTAGTACTACTACTACTACTACTACTACTACTACTACTACTACTACCACTACTACTACTACGACGACTAGCACTACTACTACTACTACTACGACGACCCACTATTACTACTACGACTACTACTACGACTACTACTACTACTACTACTACAATTACTATTATTATTACTACGACGAAGACGGCGACGACGACTACTACGACTACTATTACTACTACTACTACTACTACCACTACTACTACTACTACTACTACTACTACTACTACTACTACTACTACTACTACTACTACGCTTACCGCTACCAGTACCACTACCAGCACCACTGCCAGTACCACTGCTACTGCTACTACTACTAGTACTACTCCTGCTACTACTACTACTACTACCTACTACTACTACTACTACTACTACTATTACCACGACGAGTACTACTACTACTACTATTACTACTACTACTACTACTACTGCTACCAGTACTACCACCACTACTGCTACTACTATGACAACTACCACTGCTTCTCCTGCTGCTACTACTACTAGTACTACGATTACTACTAGTACTACGAGTACTACTATTACTTCTACTACTATTACTACTACTACTACTAATAATAATAATACTACTACTACTACTACTACTACTACTACTACTACTAGTACTACTACTACTACGATTACTCCCGCTACTACTGTTGCTACTACTACTACTACTACTACGACGACTACGACGACTACTACTACGACTACTACTACTACTACTACTACTACTACTACTACTACTAATATTATCAACACTACAACTACTACTACTACTATTACTACTACTACTACTACTACTACTACTACTACTACTACTACTAGTCGTATCAGTACTACTACTACTACAACTACGACTCGAACTACAACGATTACGACTACTACGCCTAGTACTACGACAACTACAACTACTACTACTTTGTTTTCCAAATCAGCAAGTCGTCAAATGGTTTCATGGTTTTGACTGGCGCGGGCTACAGCACGTGACATTGCCGCGCTCGGCCAGGCAGAATGCATTCCCCAGGTGTCTGGCGAAGAACTCCTCAACGGCGCGCGGGTTGGTGAAGCGGTGTCGGATGGGCGCGTAAAGGTGCGCCTCCATGAATTGGCCAGCTACAGGCACCTTGATGCGTTTTGCACCCTTAATACTCGGCATGCCTCCATCCGCGCCGCAAGTCCACAACGCCGAGCTCTTATTCCGGATGAAGTGCGCCGCGATTGCGGCCGCGACGCCGACATCGAACAGCCTGTCCATCTGCCACCAAGGCGGGTCGAAGACTGCCAAGTCGCACTCACTTGCCCATATGTCCGGTAGCGCGCGCAGTGATATCTTGCGCACATGCTCGTTGCCTCGGCTGTCGTCATCCCGATAAAACCCGGCCTCGGCAAAGGCCGCGCGCGCCGCCCCCCAGACTGCCGGGCCGTCTTTGACTCTGTCCG